CTTTCAGTCTATACCTCAGACCTGACACTTTCAGTCTATACCTCAGACCTGACACTTTCAGTCTATACCTCAGACCTGACACTTTCAGTCTAATACCTCAGACCTGACACTTTCAGTCTATACCTCAGACCTGACACTTTCAGCTAGTCTATACCTCAGACCTGACACTTTCAGCTAGTCTATACCTCAGACCTGACACTTTCAGACCTTCTATACCTCAGACCTGACACTTTCAGTCTATACCTCAGACCTGACACTTTCAGTCTATACCTCAGACCTGACACTTTCAGCTAGTCTATACCTCAGACCTGACACTTTCAGTCTATACCTCAGACCTGACACTTTCAGTCTATACCTCAGACCTGACACTTTCAGCTAGTCTATACCTCAGACCTAACACTTTCAGTCTATACCTCAGACCTGACACTATCAGTCTATACCTCAGACCTGACACTTTCAGCTAGTCTATACCTCAGACCTGACACTTTCAGCTAGTCTATACCTCAGACCTGACACTTTCAGTCTATACCTCAGACCTGACACTTTCAGTCTAATACCTCAGACCTGACACTTTCAGTCTATACCTCAGACCTGACACTTTCAGTCTATACCTCAGACCTGACACTTTCAGCTAGTCTATACCTCAGACCTGACACTTTCAGTCTATACCTCAGACCTGACACTTTCAGTCTATACCTCAGACCTGACACTTTCAGCTAGTCTATACCTCAGACCTGACACTTTCAGTCTATACCTCAGACCTGACACTTTCAGTCTATACCTCAGACCTGACACTTTCAGTCTAATACCTCAGACCTGACACTTTCAGTCTATACCTCAGACCTGACACTTTCAGCTAGTCTATACCTCAGACCTGACACTTTCAGTCTATACCTCAGACCTGACCCTTTCAGTCTATACCTCAGACCTGACACTTTCAGTCTATACCTCAGACCTGACACTTTCAGTCTATACCTCAGACCTGACACTTTCAGCTAGTCTATACCTCAGACCTGACACTTTCAGTCTATACCTCAGACCTGACACTATCAGCTAGTCTATACCTCAGACCTGACACTTTCAGCTAGTCTATACCTCAGACCTGACACTTTCAGTCTATACCTCAGACCTGACACTTTCAGCTAGTCTATACCTCAGACCTGACACTTTCAGCTAGTCTATACCTCAGACCTGACACTTTCAGCTAGTCTATACCTCAGACCTGACACTTTCAGCTAGTCTATACCTCAGACCTGACACTTTCAGCTAGTCTATACCTCAGACCTGACACTTTCAGTCTATACCTCAGACCTGACACTTTCAGCTAGTCTATACCTCAGACCTGACACTTTCAGTCTAATACCTCAGACCTGACACTTTCAGTCTATACCTCAGACCTGACACTTTCAGTCTATACCTCAGACCTGACACTTTCAGTCTATACCTCAGACCTGACACTTTCAGTCTAATACCTCAGACCTGACACTTTCAGTCTATACCTCAGACCTGACACTTTCAGCTAGTCTATACCTCAGACCTGACACTTTCAGCTAGTCTATACCTCAGACCTGACACTTTCAGACCTTCTATACCTCAGACCTGACACTTTCAGTCTATACCTCAGACCTGACACTTTCAGTCTATACCTCAGACCTGACACTTTCAGCTAGTCTATACCTCAGACCTGACACTTTCAGCTAGTCTATACCTCAGACCTGACACTTTCAACTAGTCTATACCTCAGACCTGACACTTTCAGTCTATACCTCAGACCTGACACTTTCAGCTAGTCTATACCTCAGACCTGACACTTTCAGTCTATACCTCAGACCTGACACTTTCAGTCTATACCTCAGACCTGACACTTTCAGTCTATACCTCAGACCTGACACTTTCAGTCTATACCTCAGACCTGACACTTTCAGCTAGTCTATACCTCAGACCTGACACTTTCAGTCTATACCTCAGACCTGACACTTTCAGTCTATACCTCAGACCTGACACTTTCAGCCAGTCTATACCTCAGACCTGACACTTTCAGTCTATACCTCAGACCTGACACTTTCAGCTAGTCTATACCTCAGACCTGACACTTTCAGTCTATACCTCAGACCTGACACTTTCAGCTAGTCTATACCTCAGACCTGACACTTTCAGTCTATACCTCAGACCTGACACTTTCAGCTAGTCTATACCTCAGACCTGACACTTTCAGTCTATACCTCAGACCTGACACTTTCAGTCTAATACCTCAGACCTGACACTTTCAGTCTAATACCTCAGACCTGACACTTTCAGTCTATACCTCAGACCTGACACTTTCAGCTAGTCTATACCTCAGACCTGACACTTTCAGTCTATACCTCAGACCTGACACTTTCAGCTAGTCTATACCTCAGACCTGACACTTTCAGTCTATACCTCAGACCTGACACTTTCAGTCTATACCTCAGACCTGACACTTTCAGTCTATACCTCAGACCTGACACTTTCAGTCTAATACCTCAGACCTGACACTTTCAGTCTATACCTCAGACCTGACACTTTCAGTCTAATACCTCAGACCTGACACTTTCAGTCTATACCTCAGACCTGACACTTTCAGCTAGTCTATACCTCAGACCTGACACTTTCAGCTAGTCTATACCTCAGACCTGACACTTTCAGTCTATACCTCAGACCTGACACTTTCAGTCTAATACCTCAGACCTGACACTTTCAGTCTAATACCTCAGACCTGACACTTTCAGTCTATTCCTCAGAACTGACACTAGTCTATACTTTACAGCCAACACACTGGAAGTGAGCTTTGACCTCATACCAAACTAGGATCAAATGTCGAAGGCTGGTATACTGCCAAAGGCTGGTTTACTGCCAAAGAACATGGGCCATACTGTCACAGTCATTATTCATCTTACAGCCTCAGAGAAGCATTCGCAGATCCTAGCTTTCATCATGTGACCTTTCTGTCTCCCCCCCCCCCCCCCCCCCGACCCCCAACACCTGACTCCTCCATGCCAGGTCTTCAGATCACGTGAGAGCTATACCTGTTACGACAGGCTCACCCGTCTGGTTTTTTATTCTGATTCCAGTTCCAATGGGTTTACGCTAGATAATCTAGTTCCAATAGGATAACGCTAGATAATCCAGTTCGATTGGTTTACGCTAGATAATCCAGTTCCAATGGGTTTACGCTAGATAATCTAGTTCCAATAGGTTTACGCTAGATAATCCAGTTCGATTGGTTTACGCTAGATAATCCAGTTCGATTGGTTTACGCTAGATAATCCAGTTCCAATGGGTTTACGCTAGATAATCTAGTTCCAATAGGTTTACGCTAGATAATCCAGTTCGATTGGTTTACGCTAGATAATCCAGTTCCAATGGGTTTACGCTAGATAATCCAGTTCCAATGGGTTTACGCTAGATAATCCAGTTCCAATGGGTTTACGCTAGATAATCCAGTTCAAATCGGTTTATGTTAGATAATCCAGTTCCAATGGGTTTACGTTAGATGATCCAGTTCCTTTAGTTTTGCATTGGATAATCCAGTTCTTTTGGTTTTGCATTAGATAATCCAGTTCCTTTGGTTTTGCATTAGATGATCCAGTTCCTTTGGTTTTGCATTAGATAATCCAGTTCCTTTGAGATTGCATTAGATAATCCAGTTCCTTTAGTTTTGCGGTAGATAATCCAGTTCCTTTAATTTTGCATTAAATAATCCAGTTCCTTTGGTTTTGCATTGGATAATCCAGTTCTTTTGGTTTTGCATTAGATAATGCAGTTCCTTTAGTTTTGCGTTAGATAATCCAGTTCCTTTGGTTTTGCATTAGATAATCCAGTTCCTTTGAGATTGCATTAGATAATCCAGTTCCTTTAGTTTTGCGGTAGATAATCCAGTTCCTTTAATTTTGCATTAAATAATCCAGTTCCTTTGGTTTTGCATTAGATAATGCAGTTCCTTTGGTTTTTATTAGATAATCCAGTTCCTTTGGTTTTGCGGTAGATAATCCAGTTCCTTTGGTTTTGCATTAGATAATGCAGTTCCTTTGGTTTTTATTAGATAATCCAGTTCCTTTGGTTTTGCGTTAGATAATCCAGTTCCTTTGGTTTTGCATTAGATAATGCAGTTCCTTTGGTTTTTATTAGATAATCCAGTTCCTTTGGTTTTGCGTTAGATAATCCAGTTCCTTTGGTTTTGCATTAGATAATCCAGTTCCTTTGGTTTTGCGTTAGATAATCCAGTTCCTTTGAGATTGCATTAGATAATCCAGTTCCTTTAGTTTTGCGGTAGATAATCCAGTTCCTTTAATTTTGCATTAAATAATCCAGTTCCTTTGGTTTTGCATTGGATAATCCAGTTCTTTTGGTTTTGCATTAGATAATGCAGTTCCTTTAGTTTTGCGTTAGATAATCCAGTTCCTTTGGTTTTGCATTAGATAATCCAGTTCCTTTGGTTTTGCGTTAGATAATCCAGTTCCTTTGGTTTTGCCAGTTTGACAATTTGGTTTACAACTTCCAACCCATATCTGAACAAGCATTATAGTTCCTGGCTGTAACCATTTATCTATGTTCCTTCCTTTAAGAATTGTGAACTGTTATCGATGCTGGTTTGATCGTTCTCATGCAACTAGCAATATTTTCATTTAATATTACATTTTATTTACTTCTAAAAAGTAAACTCAAAGCTGTATGCTAATGTCTAAGAATATTCAATTTTATGACTAATTTGTGGAGGAAAATTTTTTCATTGGGTACAACGCAGTTAATTAAATACATCATGTTTGCTAACTTTAAGTTCTAAACAACCGTAATAATTAAGTTATCAAACTTTGACACCCCTCAAGCTTTGACCACCTTATATTCACACAACGATTGACCACTTGGCCACTTCCCCTCCCACCACTGGCACCGTTCTGCGCCCGTCCCCCAGTCTGTCAGACAACCTTAAACAACAGAGAGCAGGGGAGGATTCCAGACCAGAAAACCCATAACCCTACCTGTCTTCTATGGAATCCGTTTAATCCAGGTCAAAAAGAACAATGTCAGTTCCAGGGTAACTCCTCGATATATACACCTTCCCATGGAACCTTTGAAACAAAGATACACAACTCTGTTAGATAAGGAAACGTAACTCGGTCTGCAGAGCTGAAGATATGTTCAACTTTTTTCTTTTGTTTTTCTTTGGGTGCGCCAGAACAAAAATAAATAAATAGCTCCACAACATTTTTGTAAAGAAAAATGAATCATGTAACAAACATATGAATAATAGAAGAAAAAATGTCTATCTTACGTAAATTCTGTAACAAATACATGAAGAGTACAACACTTAATTGTGGAAAGACTGTATATCGTACATAAATAGTGTAACAAACATAAAATGTACACACTTAATTAGCAGTGTTTCTCGTCCATGAATGGTGGATCCAACTAAGCGAAACACTGGACGTAAGTGAACCCAAACCAAAAAGAGGGCAACAATTCGATAGGATCGGGGGATCAACTCAGCCAGGTGAAGCTGTTAGATTGTAGCAGATAGATCCCAAGGTGGGGGGACAGCCAGTCTATCAGCTAGCAGCCATAAGCCAAGAGTAAGCAGTAAAGATCGAGTAATCGCATCATTTAACAAAGTAAGAACTGTTTCTGGTCAAAGATTAGGTATCGGTGGGATCACAAAACGAATCTTTGATTTGATTGGTGTATTAAACTTTACACTCTATCAGGGGTGGGTACAACGGTCCCCCCACTCAAGATTAGGGGCAACAAAATCAAAGTTCTGGAAAAAAAATTAAACTGTTGCTGCATTCAAAGAAATGCATCCCACTTTCTAGAAATCAGCTTGAGGCATTTATATCACACTTTCGAAGCACGTTTTGAAGCTTTTATTAAAGATTTAAAAAAAAAAGCTTTCCCTGATAGATAAAACTATCGATTCATTAAAGTATTATTTGACAAACCTCAATGACAAAACATCCCCATGCGAAGACCGAAATGAGAGTTTGACTTGTTATGTAATCGCTGACAAGGTTTCTTAAAGTAGAAGTAAGGGTTATGGAAAGATACTATATCGCACTATGATCTTTAATATGCCACAACTGTCCACTCGCTACCTAGCAAACATCTATACACTCAAGCACTGCTCACATCAAGTCAAACAGTTAAATCAATGCTCAAATCAAGTCAGATACAGACTCAATCAATGCTCATAGACTTTCGATGATAAGTTTTGGATGATGAGCCCAAAATGAAAATTGATGTCTGTCGTTGAACCAATCCTTAGTCCCACACGCATCAAAGGTTTATGGACACTTCGTCTTTTTAACCATTTGTTATCTACAAAATAGCCTTGGCCTTCTTGGCGTTGTCCTAGATTTTATCCATCCCATTTCCCATTAACTCGTATCGCTTTCTAAATAGCTTTCAATCTTTTTTTTTTTTGGGTTTAAGATTTATTTAAAAGTGAGGAACAAAAGAAATCTCTTCGCCCTATATTTGGTTGAGCAGAAAATCTAAAGACAGAAAAGTTCAGAGTGATGGGAACATTTTGGAAATACATTGCAAGGCACGTCTGCCTTTTACCAGGAGTGAAATGGACGGATTGATGTGTTATACAATAAACAAGAATGAAAGGCACAATAACAATATAAACGGGCCTAAGCAGGAATTCGTTAAGGAGCGAGGGGTAAAATGTCTCTTACATATTATATATATATATATATATATATATATATATATATATATATATATATATATATATATATATATATATATATATATATATATATATATATATATATATATATATAGTGGCGTAGCGAGGTCGGGTGTCACCCGGTGCGGCACTTAATGGTGTCACCCCCTAGAGGCGTAGCGACCCTTCCCGGGGACAAACTTTCAAGTTTTCGATTTGCACCCCCGCCCTCAAAGTTTTTCTCTATGTAATTTTGCTATTTTTTGCCTTAGTGTCACCCCCCCCTAAATGGTGTCACCCGGTGCGGTCCGCACCCCCCCCTCGCTACGCCCCTGTATATATATTTATATATATATATATATATATATATATATATATATATATATATATATATATATATATATATATATATATATATATATATATATATATATACACACACGCGCGTAGCTCGAGCAGTTTTATAACGTTGATTGTTCTGAAATTGTGAGACAACGGTGCGTGGGCTGGTGTTCTGAGCCTGACGTAAAGAAAACTAAAAGCTTTCTCGTACCTGGAGCGTCGTGTTCATTTTCTAATCAACGCGAGATTTGTTAAAAAAAATGTGTGTCGCTAAAACGAACGTTCTCATAAGATCGCTGGCTGTAAACAGTCAATCACGGTAAGCATACCTAGCGTGTAACTCTACACCACGTGATTTGCCGTGACCCGAGAGGTTGAGTAAAAAAGAGCGTGGCAAAGCGATGAGGTCATGCAGACATACGGGTAGCCTAGAAGGTGTGTACAAACTACCAAGGAAAAACACGGCGCCACAAGGCAGGGGAACAACTCGAGCAGCCTGATCGTTGAACTGCCGGTATGGAAGATCAATGAGCTCAGTTCACTGTATTACTGGCTAATTATATCTTAACACATTCATCAAGACAACTATTAAAACATTTGTAATAATAAGCTTTTAAATGCACTGAAAATACAATCAATTTTTAAAAAGTTCCTTTATAAAAGCATTCGTCACTAAAATGTTAAAGAAAGTTCATGAGAGCAAATGCTTTTATTAAAGAAGTTCTACTTATTTAATTTCTATTTTCACTGCATTTAAAAGATTATTATTATAGAGGGTTATATATATATATAATTATTGTACTTCAAAACTTCATCAGTAGCTTGCGATCTCTAAAAGACAATTTAATTATCTGCCCATTCTTACCAACTTTGGTCGTTCACAGGAGTGAAATCAATGATGTGATTAACCCTGTTTTTTATCTCCCCTTTTTTAATTGAATATAGCGATCCTTACATTAATGTTATATTAATTTTATTTTAATATTTAATAAAAAAAATTTGTTTTATATATTCTTGTGATGTCTTTAGAGACGAGCGAATCTATAGTCTTAATGCAGAGATGGGATATTTAAATAATTTGAGCAGTGGCGAGGCTGACCAAATAAATAGCTCTAGATTTGAGCAGTGGCGAAGCTGACCAAATAAATAGCTCTAGATTTGAGCAGTGGCGAGGCTGACCAAATAAATAGCTCTAGATTTGAGCAGTGGCGAGGCTGAACCAAATAAATAGCTCTAGATTTGAACAGTGGCGAGGCTGACCAAATAAATAGCTCTAGATTTGAGCAGTGGCGAGGCTGAACCAAATAAATAGCTCTAGATTTGAACAGTGGCAAAGCTGACCAAATGAATAGCTCAGATTTGAGCAGTGGCGAGGCTGACCATTCTATAACGAGATATGGGGAAATGATAGCAAGAAGGAAGTAATTTGTGTCATAATGAATCTAACACCACGAGCGTGATTCTTCATTAATTAATCAGCCATGTCAACGGTCTCATTAGCTTTACGGTCAAAAGGTCTTCAACTCGATAAGGTCTACAATCCCAGGGGAGGGAATCCCCGGAAATAGGCGGAAGTAAAGGCAGATAGGCGAGGTGTGGGGTTGGCCGGTTGGCTGCTGAATCTGATCAAATTTTGGCGCAGAAAAAAACGCTAGTTGTCAATAATAAATTCTCGAGATAATAACCATATTAGCAAAATAAACACACGGTCCTAGATTAGTGTACAAAATACGCACATGTATAGTAATAAATACAAACTGATCAGAATAAACACATACACATCAAAATTTCTATGATTGTAATCATATGGCTTTCTATGATTGTAGTCTCATATTTTTCTATGATTGTAGTCTCATGACTTTCTATGATTGTAGTCTCATATTTTTCTATGATTGTAGTCTCATGACTTTCTATGATTGTAGTCTCATATTTTTCTATGATTATAGTCTCATGACTTTCTATGATTGTAGTCTCATATTTTTCTATGATTGTAGTCTCATGACTTTCTATGATTGTAGTCTCATGACTTTCTATGATTTCTCATATTTTTCTATGATTGTAGTCTCATGACTTTCTATGATTGTAGTCTCATGACTTTCTATGATTGTAGTCTCATATTTTTCTATGATTGTAGTCTCATGACTTTCTATGATTGTAGTCTCATGACTTTCTATGATTGTAGTCTCATGGCTTTCTAAGATTGTAGCTTTCATGGCTTTCTATGATTGTAGTCTCATGACTTTCTATGATTGTAGTCTCATATTTTTCGATGATTGTAGTCTCATGTCTTTCTATGATTGTAGTCTCATGACTTTCTATGATTGTAGTCTCATATTTTTCTATGATTATAGTCTCATGACTTTCTATGATTGTAGTCTCATATTTTTCTATGATTGTAGTCTCATGACTTTCTATGATTGTAGTCTCATGACTTTCTATGATTGCAGTCTCATGACTTTCTATGATTGTAGTCTCATGACTTTCTATGATTGTAGTCTCATGTTTTTCTAAGATTGTAGTCTCATATTTTTCTATGATTGTAGTCTCATGACTTTCTATGATTGTAGTCTCATGACTTTCTATGATTGCAGTCTCATGACTTTCTATGATTGTAGTCTCATGACTTTCTATGATTGTAGTCTCATGTTTTTCTAAGATTGTAGTCTTATTTTTTTCTATGATTGTAGTCTCATATTTTTCTATGATTGTAGTCTCATGACTTTCTATGATTGTAGTCTCATATTTTTCTATGATTGTAGTCTCATGACTTTCTATGATTGTAGTCTCATGACTTTCTATGATTATCATTGATATTATCAATCCATATTTTGTGTAGCATATTTGTATGGGCGCTGACACGGTAGAAGTGAAGCAGGAAGTGGGACAAACCAGGAAACATGAGAGTAAGATAGGAGGATTGTCCCGTTTGGTGAGGGGGACAAACCAGGAAACATGAGAGTAAGATAGGAGGATTGTCCAGTTTGGTGATGGATGCTCAAACACAGACAGCAGTTCATGGCTGGCAAGATGGAGTGGTTAACAAGATGATAGGAGTGATGCGTTGGGGGAGGGGGGGGGGGAAGAAAAATGGCAAAATAGTTTCTGTATGACAGGGTAAGAAAAACATGGCGCCGTGTGTCTAGCACCAGGAGAGTCTGGCTATTAACCAGAGTTTCAAGACCAATAGATCTAAATCATGTGGCCTGCCCCTAGTTTTGTAAACCGTTTACTTGGGTTAAAGTTAATAGTGAAATGTAACCAGGAATAAGGAACCGAGTAAACAAATCGTAATACAAGGTTCAATTCTAGCTGGTATCTAAAGCAGAACTCAATGTGCATATGGTACACTGTGGGCCGGGCAATGAGGAGTGGGGGGGGGGAGCAGAAGGGGTGGTCAACTAACTGTAAATCTTATTGTTGGTTTGATTAGTTTGGTCCAACATCACTTGCGACAGAATTCTTTAGGTGAACAGTTTCATCATCGTTGTAACCAGAATCATAACCCATGAAGCTTACACAAAAAGAAATAACCAGTCAGGGTGACCTAACCAGTCAGTGTAACCTAACCAGTCAGGGTGACCTAACCAGCCAGGGTGACCTAACCAGTCAGGGTAACCTAACCAGTCAAGGTGACCTAACCAGTCAGTGTAACCTAACCAGTCAGTGTGACCTAACCAGTCAGTGTGACCTAACCAGTCAGTGTAACCTAACCAGTCAGTGTAACCTAACCAGTCAGTGTAACCTAACCAGTCAGTGTGACCTAACCCGTCAGGGTGACCTAACCCGTCAGGGTGACCTAACCCGTCAGGGTGACCTAACCCGTCAGGGTGACCTAATCAGTACGTGACTAATAACATGCAGTGACTAAAAGAGTCAATTGGACCTTATTGATGGGGGTGATGTGTATTGCTACATGTGCACTTATACATATTTACTATATAGATGTATATTAGTCAATAGGCCTACTTGTACACATGTAGTTTAGTCAGTATTTGTACACATGTAGTTTAGTCAGTACTTGTCACATGTAGTTAAGTCAGTATTTGTACAAATGTAGTTTAGTCAGCACTTGTACACATGTAGTTTAGCCAGTACTTGTACACATGTAGTTTACTAAGTACAAGTACATATATAGTTTAGTCGGTACTTGTTCACATGTAGTTTAGTCAGTACTTATACACATGCAGTTTAGTCAGTACTTGTTTATATGTAGTTTAGTCAGTACTTGTACACATGTAGTTAAGTCAGTATTTGTACCAATGTAGTTAAGTCAGTATTTGTACAAATGTAGTTAAGTCAGTATTTGTACACATGTAGTTAAGTCAGTATTTGTACACATGTAATTAAGTCAGTATTTGTACAAATGTAGTTTAGTCAGTACTTGTACACATGTAGTTAAGTCAGTATTTGTACAAATGTAGTTTAGTCAGTAATTGTTCTATTGATAATGTGCCCGTTTATTGTTTAGGACGTATTAGAAAAACATTTTTAGAGACGTTGCCACCCATCTTACCTTATAGATGTCATGTAAGTTTTTAAATATAACAGTGCCATCAACCTCCCCCACATATAATAAAACATTGTTAAAACACTTGATCTAAACCGAATATGAAGCGCTTACGATCAAGGTCACAAAGTAACAAAACAATGAGCCACCACCCCCACCTTGTTGTAGCACATAGGATATGAGCTCGTTTATTTTCTGGTTGTAAACTTCTGTGTCATTTTAATACACATGTCAGGGGCACATATTGCATATGAAAACAAATAAAGTTTAGTCAAGTAATTGAAGTGCAATATGGTTCTACTTTAGTCTTAATAGCACTGAGGATGTTTAGCCTTAATCGCACTGAGGATGTTTAGTCTTTACTTGGAAAAGACCGACACATTCCATGTATGAGCGGTTCTTCTATCAACTACTCCCGACTCACCCCTTCACCAGTAGAAATTTTCCTTCACTGGGACGCCCAGTAGATTTCAGCATAACCTCCCCTCCCCAGCCAACAGGTGTATAAACACACCACTACCGCTGTGTGCTACATTCCCCTCATTACGAATGTGGTCTAGCTGACCTATTGGACGCTACAGGAACGGTATTTTTTTTTAAATTAGCAATCTAGCCTAAGGTTTTGTTGTTACAGTGTTTTCTAAATCTAATCAGCATTCTTTCATTTTTAAATATATAGAAAGGTATTAAAGACCGACACAACATAGAAGGGTATCACATGCCGAAAAGGCTGTCACCTATTTAATCGTAAATAAAGATCGAGGTATAGATCTAGGTATTGATACAACTTACATAAACACACTTAGACAATTATAGTTTTAGGTCTATAATATTTCCTATAAATACACGTTGTATTATCGATATCTCAAATATGTGCATAGGATATGTTTCTTATGCCTATATATGAAGACCTTTATATGCCTATAAAATACAATAGAGGCCTAGTAGCCTAATCTAATATATCAAATTATACAGGCATGTCTGTAACATGGCTATAGGCCTACATATTACATAATTTAATTACATAAAAAAGAAAATAGGTTTTTATGAGACATCTTATGCCTAATAATAATAATGTGTTAATATACTGTGTGATTAGTTACTATAGTTAGGGTCAGTGATATCTTTATAAATTAGACCACAGCGCTAAGTTGGCACACACGCTGTTTGTTTATGGTGAATAAAGAAGCAATTACCTTTCTTAGACTGTATCAATGCACACGGCATAGCACAAAGAGAAAACTATCCATGAAAACGTCGTAGCACAAGTAGCACGGTGCACTAGAGAGATGTGTCGGAACGTTCCCACTCATGAAATCCACCCAAGCAGGTAGCGGTAGGCCGGCACCCACTGGCTGAGGTGGGGTGGGTACAAGGACGGTGCTTGGGAGAAAAAAAACTCGACGAAATAACCCCCGCGTCTTGACGTTTAGGCCAGCGGGGAGGGTGGGCGGGGTTTGAAAACGGTGTCGGCTATGTGAAGGGGACATAAGCCACTGAACGCGCTCTAGGTCCGATAGCAACTTTTATCAAGCATTGGGTACAAATGTGCGGGATAGAAAGAGTCAAGTAGAAAATACTTCAAGGGAATTGTTGAACACTTTTGTTTTCTTTTAAGATCTGACGTATTCTACTTTGTTCCTAGATCAACTAGTTTGGATCCACTTTGTTCTTAGATATGATGTATTGTTCTACTTTGTTCTTAGATATGATGTATTGTTCTACTTTGTTCTTAGATATGATGTATTGTTCTACTTTGTGCATAGATCTAACAGTTTGGTTTTACTTGAAACCAGACTTGAGTTCAAATGTTTCTATTAAGGTAAATTTACGTGTATTGAATTGGGCGTTTAGTGTGATCAGCCTTATAGGTTCTACACGTTTAGTGTGATCAGCCTTATAGGTTCTACACGTTTAGTGTGATCAGCCTTATAGGTTCTACACGTTTAGTGTGATCAGCCGTATAGGTTCTACACCTCTGGCTTGACGATCTGGTCTGTTGCACAAGGCCTAGCAACACTGTGTCCCGTGCAACACTGTAAACATTCGCTATTTTAGGAGCGGATAAAAGGTTCCCCAAATCGGGTAGTAAAAATGAATTAACCTAAACTTGTGACAAGAACAGACACGTGACAAGAACAAAAAACACACATACAGCCACATTAAGCCAGTATGAATCACCCACATACAATGTGAGATTAAACAGCCTCTCTATGACATCACACAGCCTCTCTATGACATCACACACATACAGCCTCTCTATGACATCACACAAATACAGTCTCTCTATGACATCACACACATACAGCCTCTCTATGACATCACACACATACAGCCTCTCTATGACATCACACACATACAGCCTCTCTATGACATCACACACATACAGCCTCTCTATGACATCACACACATACAGCCTCTCTATGACATCACACACATACAGTCTCTCTATGACATCACACACATACAGCCTCTCTATGACATCACACAGCCTCTCTATGACATCACACACATACAGCCTCTCTATGACAACACACACATACAGCCTCTCTATGACATCACACACATACAGCCTCTCTATATCATGACACACATACAGCCTCTCTATGACATCACACACATACAGCCTCTCTATGACATCACACACATACAGCCTCTCTATGACATCACACACATACAGCCTCTCTATGACATCACACACATACAGCCTCTCTATGACATCACACACATACAGCCTCTCTATGACATCACACACATACAGCCTCTCTATGACATCACACACATACAGCCTCTCTATGACATCACACATACAGCCTCTCTATGACATCACACACATACAGCCTCTCTATGACATCACACACATACAGCCTCTCTATGACATCATACACATACAGCCTCTCTATGACATCACACACATACAGCCTCTCTATGACATCACACACATACAGCCTCTCTATGACATCACTCACATACAGCCTCTCTATGACATCACACACATACAGCCTCTCTATGACATCACACACATACATCCTCTCTATGACATCACACACATACAGCCTCTCTATGACATCACACACATACAGCCTCTCTATGACATCACACACATACAGCCTCTCTATGACATCACACACATACAGCCTCTCTATGACATCACACACATACAGCCTCTCTATGACATCACACACATACAGCCTCTCTATGACATCACACACATACAGCCTCTCTATGACATCACACACATACAGCCTCTCTATGACATCACACACATACAGCCTCTCTATGACATCACACACATACAGCCTCTCTATGACATCACACACACACAGCCTCTCTATGACATCACACACATACAGCCTCTCTATGACATCACACACATACAGCCTCTCTATGACATCACACACATACAGCCTCTCTATGACATCACACACATACAGCCTCTCTATGACATCACACACATACAGCTTCTCTATGACATCACACACATACAGCCTCTCTATGACATCACACACATACAGCCTCTCTATGACATCACACAGCCTCTCTATGACATCACACACATACAGCCTCTCTATGACATCACACACATACAGCCTCTCTATATCATGACACACATACAGCCTCTCTATGACATCACACAGCCTCTCTATGACATCACACACATACAGCCTCTCTATGACATCACACACATACAGCCTCTCTATGACATCACACACATACAGCCTCTCTATGACATCACACACATACAGCCTCTCTATATCATGACACACATACAGCCTCTCTATGACATCACACACATACAGCCTCTCTATGACATCACACAGCCTCTCTATGACATCACACACATACAGCCTCTCTATGAAATCACACACATACAGCCTCTCTATGACATCACACACATACAGCCTCTCTATGACATCACACACATACAGCCTCTCTATGACATCACACACATACAGCCTCTCTATGACATCACACACACACAGCCTCTCTATGACATCACACACATACAGCCTCTCTATGACATCACACACATACAGCCTCTCTATGAAATCACACAGCCTCTCTATGACATCACACACATACAGCCTCTCTATGACATCACACACATACAGCCTCTCTATGACATCACACACATACAGCCTCTCTATGACATCACACACATACAGCCTCTCTATGACATCACACACATACAGCCTCTCTATGACATCACACACATACATTCTCTCTATGACATCACACACACAGCCTCTCTATGACATCACACACATACAGCCTCTCTATGACATCACACACATACAGCCTCTCTATGAAATCACACAGCCTCTCTATGACATCACACACATACAGCCTCTCTATGACATCACACACATACAGCCTCTCTATGACATCACACACATACAGCCTCTCTATGACATCACACACATACAGCCTCTCTATGACATCACACACATACAGCCTCTCTATGACATCACACACATACAGCCTCTCTATGACAACACACACATACAGCCTCTCTATGACATCACACACATACAGCCTCTCTATGACATCACACACATACAGCCTCTCTATGACATCACACACATACAGCCTCTCTATGACATCACACAGCCTCTCTATGACATCACACACATACAGCCTCTCTATGACATCACACACATACAGTCTCTCTATGACATCACACACATACAGCCTCTCTATGACATCACACACATACAGCCTCTCTATGACATCACACACATACAGCCTCTCTATGACATCACACACATACAGCCTCTCTATGACATCACACACATACAGCCTCTCTATGACATTACACACATACAGCCTCTCTATGACATCACACACATACAGCCTCTCTATGACAACACACACATACAGCCTCTCTATGACATCACACACATACAGCCTCTCTATGACATCACACACATACAGCCTCTCTATGACATCACACACATACAGCCTCTCTATGACATCACACACATACAGCCTCTCTATGACATCACACACATACAGCCTCTCTATGACATCACACACATACAGCCTCTCTATGACATCACACACATACAGCCTCTCTATGACATCACACACATACAGTCTCTCTATGACATCACACACATACAGCCTCTCTATGACATCACACACATACAGCCTCTCTATGACATCACACACATACAGCCTCTCTATGACATCACACACATACAGCCTCTCTATGACATCACACACATACAGCCTCTCTATGACATCACACACATACAGCCTCTCTATGACATCACACAGCCTCTCTATGACATCACACACATACAGCCTCTCTATGACATCACACACATACAGTCTCTCTATGACATCACACACATACAGCCTCTCTATGACATGACACACATACAGCCTCTCTATGACATCACACAGCCTCTCTATGACATCACACACATACAGCCTCTCTATGACATCACACAGCCTCTCTATGACATCACACACATACAGCCTCTCTATGACATCACACACATACAGTCTCTCTATGACATCACACACATACAGCCTCTCTATGACATCACACACATACAGCCTCTCTATGACATCACACACATACAGCCTCTCTATGACATCACACACATACAGCCTCTCTATGACATCACACACATACAGCCTCTCTATGACAACACACACATACAGCCTCTCTATGACATCACACACATACAGCCTCTCTATGACATCACACACATACAGCCTCTCTATGACATCACACACATACAGCCTCTCTATGACATGACACACATACAGCCTCTCTATGACATCACACACATACAGCCTCTCTATGACATCACACAGCCTCTCTATGACATCACACACATACAGCCTCTCTATGACATGACACACATACAGCCTCTCTATGACATCACACACATACAGTCTCTCTATGACATCACACACATACAGCCTCTCTATGACATCACACACATACAGCCTCTCTATGACATCACACACATACAGCCTCTCTATGACATCACACACATACAGCCTCTCTATGACATCACACACATACAGCCTCTCTATGACATTACACACATACAGCCTCTCTATGACATCACACACATACAGCCTCTCTATGACAACACACACATACAGCCTCTCTATGACATCACACACATACAGCCTCTCTATGACATCACACACATACAGCCTCTCTATGACATCACACACATACAGCCTCTCTATGACATCACACACATACAGCCTCTCTATGACATCACACACATACAGCCTCTCTATGACATCACACACATACAGCCTCTCTATGACATCACACACATACAGCCTCTCTATGACATCACACACATACAGTCTCTCTATGACATCACACACATACAGCCTCTCTA